GTCCTCCAGGGTGAACACTGATTGCAGGATGACCCGTCGGTGTGGTCATCAAGGGGTGTCCCTTCACGCTGACGGCCTCGAAGTCCGCCTTGTGCTCCTTAAGGTTGTAGATCATTCCAAGCTCGGCCAAAACGGAACGGCTCAACAGGAGTGGTAGGTCACCATGGATGATGGACACCTTCACCATGACCCAGCAACTTCCGACCCTGAAGGAAACCACAGCCGCATAACTCGAGGAGTAGATCCGCGAAGCCCCAAATTTGAAGTTATCGTTCTCTGGGAGCAGTGGGACTTCCACTCCGAAGGGTTTCAGGACATCGATGTATCGTTGGAGCCATGAAGTGCCAGCCACGGACTTTGTGCACGCGCTATCTGCGATGGCCATGAGGTTATCACTGAGGATGCCGCTCGTCATGAAAACTTCATTGGAAATGTTAGCCGTGTGGGTGACGTTGTTCGGCAGGGAGTCCTTGGAGGAGGGAGGTTTACCAGGACATTCGGGGTCGCGATACCAATGACCACGCTGTTTGCACACACTGCAGTAAGAACGCTGTTTGGCACTCTGGATCTTACTATCAATGGCCTTCCGGACCTCGTCGGGCTCTAGGTTCCTATTTCGCACGGCCTCCTTGTACTGCGCCTTGGCGGTAATGAAGGCCTCGAAGAGCTCTGCCTCGTCCGCGTTCTCCGGTTCCACGCCGGAGGGGTCCTCACCATCGTCCTCGTCTTCCTCAGGGATGGCCTCGACTGCGTTCGCACTGTTCACCTTGGTAGGTCTGTTTCCTCGTTCCCAAGGCTTCGTTCTGTCCTTCAAATCCCACGGTCGCCGTAGGCTCTTTTCATGAAGAACCGCTGCGCGCTGTAGTCTGCTGCATATGAACTCGTTGTTCACGCTCCCAAGGATGGCCAGCTCCTCCGAGTGGGAAAGAGAAAGAGCACTGAGGTAGGCCCAAGCACGAGCCGTCTCCGGTAGTCGGCATTCGATTTCGACCAGTCTGGCATAGGAGCGGTCGAAAGCAGCATTGAACTCCCTCACAGACTGGCTTGGACCACGGCGTAGTTTCTTGAAGAAGCCGTTCAATGCCTCGGCGATCTTTCCGACCTCGATCTCTTGGTAGCGCTCCGCGATCCAGGCCTTGAACTTGTCCACGCCGTCCGCCGTGCAGAGGTCCTTGACGTCCAGTTCCTCCGCTTCTATCCAAGCGCGCCCCTTGAGATTT